GTGTGTGTGTGCGTGTGTGGTGTGTGTGTGTGCGTGTGTGTGCGTGTGAGTGGTAGGGTAGCGTGGTGTTGAAGACGCGGTGGTGTGTGGGGGATGTTAGTTGATGTGAGCATGAAGGCAAGGACATCGACATAGGTTGAAACACAGACATGCAAGCAAACATTCACGCACGCACGCACACACACACACAGACTTACACATACACACAATCACGCACGCACACACACACACACACACACAGAGACAGACACAGACACACACACACACAGACAAAGAGCGCCCACCGATTGTTGCCGTCTTTGGGACCGAGAGAAGGCGAAATGGGTTCTCCGGTTTGATCAAATTGAGCAGCTCTCGGATGGTTATTCCGTAGAGCTGGAAGTCTTTGACCGTCAGCATGGCACGCAGGTCGTAGTCGGAAATGGACGCCACCATCTTGTCGCCCTGGCCGTGGTCAATCACGGGGATCTGCGCCAGTGGACAGTAGTTGTTTGTTCATATGTACATGTGTGTGAATGTTTGGTGTTGACAAAGTAGACAACGAAATAAAAAACCGGTCACCTTCATACCCAAATCACACACACACACACACCCTCAACACACACATACACATACACACACCCACAAGCCCCCCACACCCACACCCACACCCACACACACACACCCACACCCACACCCACACCCACACCCACACACACACACACACACACACACACACACACACACACACACACACACACACACACACACACACACACACACACACACACACACACACACACACACACACAATAACGCACGGAGCTGATGTGATGCGTCTCCATGATTTCAAACGCGCGCACGGCTGGTGACGTCAGCGAAACAGTCTTCACCGTCTTCAATCCGAGCCCCGCCTCCTCCAGCGTCGTGTCACCGAGAGGCGACAGTGAACCATCATGCTACATTTGGGAGAATGAGAGTGAGAGAGAAGGGGGTGGGGGGTGGTTGGTGAAGGTTATGTGAGATTGGAGGCAAGTGACAAGCCCGATGCTTTCACACACACACACACACACAGACACACACACAGACACACACACACACCGACCGTGAGGATGTACTTGACGATGGAGGACTGCGTGATGAGTTTTGTAATGCGACCGGACACGGCGTCCTGCACAGCGACACGTTTGACGCCCTTGATGCCGAGAATCTCAATCACCTGACGTGTGTGTGTGTGTGTTGTGTGTGTGTGTGGGTGCGTGTGTGTGTGTGTGGGTGTGCGTGTGTTTTTTTTTTTGATGAGGTCATTTGAGCACCCAGGGTAACGTCTCATTGCTACCGTCGTTGTCATCATCGTCATTCTTCAGCAGCACATCTAACAGCACCACCATCATCATCAGCATCATCATCATCATCATCATGGCCACCATGATCATCAGCACTCGTGAACAATGGTTGCGCCACTCACATCAAGCAGACTGGCGTTTGGCGGCACGGACTTGAACGGATTCCGCTGTGAATACAACCACGTGTGTGTATGCGTGTGCGTGCGTGTGTGTCAATGATTGTCAGCATGTGACAAGCATGCAACTCACATGCAAGAACCTGCTTAAAATGAGGGGTATGTGCACATAGACACACACTCGCACACACACACACATACACACGCACGCACGTGTGCGCAATCAATCAAACAAAGGCAGGTGCCGGACCGCGGAGAGGTTTGAGGTGGTGGCAGCGACGTCGGGGACGTGACGATTGACCCAGACGAGCATGTCCTTCAGCGAGGAGAAGTGTGGCGGCAGGTGCACATCAGGATCGGACGTCTTGTGCAGCGTTTGTACCTGTAGACGAATACACACGCGCACACGCAGACACAGACAGATACAGAGAGACACACATGTGAGGAACCAGGCAGTGTACGTGCTGACACGGCTGCATGAAATAGCAACACTTGGGGGCAGGTTCAGCAATCACAACACCCCACGCAACACCTCGTTGCCATGCCATGTCTGCTCCCACATTGTCTGTCCCCCCCCCCCTCTTTCTCTGTCATGTGAGCCGCAGGCACGCACCACGTATGTCACGAGGTCTGCCGTGTCGAGGAAGCCGACGTATTTGCTCGCCTTCTTGTCGTACACGGGCGCGGAGTGGTAGCCCTTCTCAAACAGCTGCTCAAATGCATTGATGCTCGACAAGCTCGCATCAATCTGCGCACAAGACAAGCAAGAGAGAGAGAGAGAGAGAGAGAGAGAGAGAGAGAGAGAGAGAGAGAGAGAAGGGAGGGGGAGTGAGTGTGTGAGTGCCAGTGAATGAGTGAGAGAGTGAGTGAGTGAAAGACAGACAGACAGAGAGAGACAGACAGAGAGAGACAGACAGAGAGAGACAGGCAGAGAGAGACAGAGAGACAGATGGGTGTTGAAGAAGGAATAATCGAGGATGAGTGGAAGGATCAGCAACGCAGCGGTGAGAAAGAATGCGGTGAAGAGGACAACAGTGAGCGAGTACGCAGTGTATATAAAGAGCTGCACAGAAGCGCATTCTTACTGCCTTGGCAGTGCTCACTTGATGGCAGTGCCACAACAAAACAAAAACAAAAGCAACACAGGGAGGAAAACACGCCGAATCAATCTCCAAAGACATACATGATGTTGCAAGGCAGGTGTTCACCCACAAGTGCACAGACACATACAGGGACACAGACACAGACACACACACACACACACACACACAGATACACACGCACAGACAGACACACAAACACAGACACACGCACGTACACCCGAGACTCCGATCCCGTTGCTCGCTCGCTTGCCTGGAAGACGTCGTGTTCGGGAAACTGTTCCAGTTGGGCATCCTTGAAGAACCCGATGCCCACGACACGCTTGAAGCCGCTCTTGATTCGCTCCCCTTGCATCGTGACTGGTGCGTGCGTATGTTTTTGTTTCCCCTCCTCCTCAATCACACAGCGGCTCTGCGATGTCGTCGAGGCACACAGACGCAGCAGCCATAAAGTGTGAGGAAAGTGTGATCAATGTGACATGGCACGACCGGCCGGGACTCAGTGGTTCACACCGCGCACACGTACACACGCCCGCACACATGCCAACAGCACGTCGCAGCCTCGAGCACAGCAGCCATTCTATCACGATGCAATCCCCTAGCACCACAATACCAGCACCAGCAGCACGACTTGCTTCCCCCAACACCTCCCCACACCAACCACGCACAACACAACAGCAACTCTGCCTGCCTTTCGTTTTGCTTTTCGTTGTGAGGCGCGATAATTACAGCAAGATATGCCAACCTGGCGTGTTTGTTATGATTCGCCACAAAAGACTTTCAAGGCAGACAAGCTTACGTCATTCCAGAGAATTCGTTGAAAACATTTATTGAATTTCCGAAACCTACGCCGACACCATGAACAGCACCGCTGCACGCCAGCAGCAACAGCGCCAGCGCACAACAGCCACAGCAGCGACTGGCGCAGCAGCCAACAAGAAGAAGACGCGTGCGTTCTATGGTGCGGTGGGGCTGGTGTTCCTGGCGCTGGTCACTGTGTTGATAACGTCGTCGTCGCCGTCGTCGTCTTCGTCGCTGCTTCCCTTCTCGTCATCGTCGTCGTCGTCGTCCAACCGCGCAGCGCAACGAGCCGCGTCGGACAAGGCAGCAGCAGCCACGTTCGACAAGGACGGCAAGGCAGCCACCAACGAAAACGTGGGCTGTGACGGTAGCGGTGATGGGACGCAGGAGAAGGGGGCAGGCGGGTGCAATCAGTGTGACCTGCGGCCCAGGGTGACGCCCAAGGTTGCGTGTCATAACGCGCCCATCTTCCTTGCGCATTTCCCCTTGAGCGGCGGCACCAGCTTGCACGGGCGCATCGCAAAGGCCTCGAAGCTTCTCCACGACGACGGCAAGCCTCGCCCTTGCCCAGGCAACCTTGTCACGTAAGCACATGTGTTGGTGTATGGAGTGGCGGGGTGGGGGATGGCGAAGAAGATTTTTTTGGTTGATGTGGATGCGTGCCTCTTTTTGTCGCTGCTTGGAGAGCGAAGGAGGGTGGGGGCGTGTTCGCCAACGTTTCTACTCACCGACACCCACACGCATATCCACTCTCATACACACACACACACACTACACTCGCACACGCATATCCACTCTCACATACACACACACTCACACTCACGCACACTCACATACACACACACTCACACACACACACACACTCACACACACACACACACACTCTCTCTCTCTCCTTCTTCTCAACCTCAACGCTCATGCGGGCATTCTCTTGTTAGGGAGTCGATGCGGTCGTGGGGAAAAACAAAGCAGTGTCCAGGGCAGGGCTACATGGACGAGAAGCGACAGGCCAGCTTTGCATCGAATTTGACGCAGTGGGACAACTGTGACTTCTTCACCAGCCACGACCCCTCGTCCGTGCTTCTGTATCTGCCGTGCAGCAACTTCCGCCCCGTCGCATTGTTGAGACACCCGCTCGAGCATCGATGGTCCATGTGGAACAAGCAATGGCACGTGCACCCATACGAGCACCACCGCAACTTCACCTACTGGCTCCTGCACGACAAGCTGGCCAAGACATACCAGCTCTATTTTTACGCCGATGCCCTGTCCATCTTTCCCGTCACATACCTGCACCCCGGTGACCTGAACCCGGTGCGCAAGGATATGGACTTGGCGCTGCGCGTGGCCAAGGACAACCTGGACACGTTTGCGGTTGTCGGCACGACCGAACGCATGGGAGACACGATCCGCGCGCTCGCGCTCACCATGGGGCTGAGCCGCGAGCAGGCCGATGCCTTGGTGGAAGGCACCACGCACGTGCACCAGAACGCGCACAAGTCCGCGGTGCCGGAGGAAGCGCAGCGGGCGGAGGTGTTGGACGGCGTGTTGTGGCACGAGATGGAGCTCTACAGGCACGCCAATGCCAAGCTCGACCACACCCTCGCATCCTTTGGTGAGAGCAGTGAACGTGACAGGCGCAGTGGTGGTGGTGGTGGTGGTGGTGACAAGTCACACAGTTGACACAAGCAAGGGCATCATGAAAAGGGTTGGCGTGTCTGTGTCTGTGACGAATTTCACATAAAGTTATCCGTGAATTCTCAACAACCAAAACAAATCCCAGCAGCCAGTGGTTCTTGGTTGTGCGCACTCACTTTGCGTTCTTTGCTGTGGATGAAGTGTGGGTGACAAACCATCAACGACGATATGGGAACGCGAACTGTGGCCGTGCAGGCTGTGGCCATGCTGGTGTGTGCTGCTGCAGTGTTTGGTTCGGTAACAGGCGCCAGCGATGTTGGCTGCCGCAACAAGCTGGCTCAGACACCACCCATGGGGTAGGTAGGCGTTGCCGCCACGCCGTGTGCTGCTTGTTTGTTTGTTTGTTTGTTCGTTCGTTTGTTCGTTTGTTTGTTCGTGTTGTGCAATCCTTTGCGTGTGTGTGGGTGATCGGTGTGCGCCTGTCGTCATTCCCCGTCACCCGCTGTCGTCTTCTTCGTTGGCTGTGCCAACATCAATGTGGCCAATCTCATTTGTGCTGTTGATTCGTGCAAACAAACGACGACGATGACATCAATAACAACAACAACAACAACAAATGACAGGTGGATGAGCTGGGAAATCTTCCGCTGCCAGATGGACTGCAAAACATATCCAAACTCTTGCATCAACGCTGATCTGTACAAGACTACGGCTGATGCTATGAAGGCCAAGGGCTTCCTCGACGCAGGCTACGAGTGAGACTGGGGGCGATCATTGTTGATGAGCATTGTCGATGAACATGTGTGCCTGTGTTTATGTGTGCTTGTGTTTATGTGTGCTTGAATGCTCGTGTGCTTGTGTGTGTGTGTGTGTGTGTGTGTGTGTGTGTGTGTGTGTGTGTGTGTGTGTGTGTCTGTCTGTCTGTCTGTCTGTCTGTCTGTCTGTATGTGTGCTCCCATCTCGTTGCATGTTACGACTCATGCCTGCATGAGTGCATCTGCTGTTCATACCCGTTTGCGCATTCCGAACATCCCCTCACCTCAATGTTACTGCCGCAGCACGGTGCACATCGACGACTGCTGGGAGGCCGATGCCCGCGACCCCAACACCGGCCGCCTCGCCGCCAACGCCGACCGCTTTCCAGGCGGTATCGCGCCGCTTGCAGACTACATCCACAAGCTCGGTCTCAAGTTTGGCCTGTACACCGCAGAAAGCAAGACCACGTGCACGGGGCACGTTGGCTCGTATCTCAATGAGATTCTGGATGCGCAGACGTTTGCCGACTGGGGCGTCGACTACCTCAAGGTTCGCTCATGTGTGTTCACTTGTGCGTGTGTGTGTTCATGTGCGTGTGTGTGTTTCTGTGTGCGTGCGTGCATGTGTGTGTGTGTGTGTGTGTGTGTGCGCTTGCGTTTACATGTGTTTGCTCATCGAGTTGATCGATCGAGCGAGCGTTGTTTTCTCGGTTGTCCATTTCTTGACTCGTTCAGTATCACCAGCATTCTTCAGCCTCGTTCTCACTCCACGTTCTGTTCACCTTCAACATCTCCCCCCTTCCACACCTTCCACACCTTCCACACCTCACACGTTCAACACCACCACCACACCTCACACGTTCAACACCACCACCACCACACCTCACACGTTCAACACCACGTTCAACACCACCACCACCATCTCCTTCTGCTTTGCGTGGTAGGTGGACGGGTGCAACCCGAACAAGACGTACTACCCCACCGGCTACACCGCCATGGGCACCGCTCTTCAGATCTCTGGCCGTGACATTGTGTACTCGTGCTCGTGGCCCGCATATCTTGGCAGCAACGAGACAACGAAGCCATACAACACCATGATTGGCATTGGCTGTAACCTGTGGCGCAACTGGCATGATATTCAGTGCAACTGGAAGTCCCTTTCAAGCATCATTGACCACTGGGGCGACTATGGACAGGTGCTTGCAAGCTACGCCGGCCCCGGTCACTGGAATGATCCGGTAGGATGCTCGTCGGGGTTGTGATGCTGTCGTGGTGTTGTGCTGCGCTGTGTGTGTGTGTGCGCGCGTGTGTGTGTGTCGTGTGTGTGTGTGTGTGTGTGTGTGTGTGTGTGTGTGTGTGTGTGTGTGTCGTGTCGTGTTTGGCCTTATTGCCGACGCTTCTTCACTCCATGATTACTTCTCCTCCCGTGTTCCGGCCTTAATTGAACACTTTTTTCACACACACACACACGCACACACACACATGCACACACACACACACGTTCACATGCATCTACACTGTATCAGGATATGCTGTTGATTGGCAACGATTGCATCACGGACGACCAGGCGCGCACGCAAATGGCAATTTGGTCCATTGTTGCTGCCCCGCTCATCATGGGCAATGACGTCCGCAACATCACCGCCTCCACACGCGCCATCCTTCTGAATCGTGACGCAATCGCCGTCAACCAGGATCCCCTCGGACAGGCCGGTTTCCGCATTTCGCCCAAGGGCGCCACGGAGGTGTGGGCGCGCAACATCAC